TCACCATTGATATATTGCTTTTAATGTTGCTTTCTCACCTGCAAGTGTTCCTCACGAAATTAGAGCAAAGTTTGTCTTTTCCTCGAGACTCATTCCCACAAAATATCCTAACTTCTGAATAATCGTGACAAGGAGAGACTGAATTAATGCGGCACTCTGTCACGGGCCCTGACCAGGTCCTCTGATACATTCAAGCAAAAATATAACTGCATTGTGCTTGAGTTACGTCTTCTCCCGCCCTTAATGCATTTAAATGAAAGGTAGTGATAATTGTCGCTGTTTTTCTCATCATTACTGAATGTAAGAGAAATTTTATGAATATTTAGTTGTCAGGACGTTACAAAGATATGTGTTTGCTATAATGAATAACGCATACCTTGGCAATGGCCCACAAAAGTATGCACAGACACAGAAAAATGTGCACCACAGGTATCTAATGCTTCACACCTACACTCACACCTACACACACAGACATACACATACAAAAGCATAGTGTGTCACAAGCACCTCATAAAAAGACAGATTAAGTAGTTGCCAGATACTTAAAAAGTGTATGATTTATATGAGGTGAAGATAATAATAGTAGTTTTTAAAGTTGCTTTTTTGGTGTCTTATAACTCATTGCATGAGCAGCTGGAAATAAGTAACAATCACTGATTAAAGCTACGTAAAAATATATAATTTAGAAGCTATTGCATCAAAAATAATTTCTACAAACTGTGTGTTTGCTCAAATCTTTAAGAATTAAGTTTTCACTGAGGCCTCCAATTTAGGAATGGTATACAGATGCAAGCCCACAACCAACCATGTTTTCTGGTTTATGTATTGTGTCCTGACATAAGAATCATGCTATTAGACAATACTGCTAGAATCACTCGACAAATGATGAATATGTATTTCCAGTTACTTTCCTGTTTATTATATACAGATTATATCTGTGAAATAATTAAATATAGAAACTATTATCAATATATCTTCTCTTCTCTAATTAGTAATTAAGTAATACGACGCACAGAATCATTCCTAAATACATATCAGTCCCATCCACTCCATACAATGCTAATCAATCCTCCCGTTCAGAAAACTGCCTTTTTATCATAGGAGTCAGTGATCACAATGCTGCAGAGTCTTCCTGATAAAAATACATGTATATATAATGGAATGCTTGAGACTTGTTGGCTCTTTTCCATAAAGCCATACCAGAGTTCTTTGAACAATATAATGCCAGAGAGAATGAAAGTCCTCAGGTACTCTTATCTACTGATAGATTATTTTATTTATTTCTGGAATTGTTGTATTTATATGCCTTTCATATTCTAAATGGAATGTGGAGAAATAAAAAAAAAAATTATAATTACTAAGAAGCATATTACAAAAAAGTTGAAGAATGTATGAAAAATAAGAAAACTTGAAATGAACAACAAAGGGTTCAGAATAAAAAACACATCCCTAATATCTTTGTTTACTTGATAAAATTCACACGGAGTTCGATTAATGCAAGATTGGCTGGGTACTAATAGGATCACATGGAGGACACGATGGAAAAGGAGGTAGACTGCGCGGAGGAGGGTGTCGGACCCTCGTCCTCCTGTGGCCCCAGGACCTTCTGGACATACTGAGGATTCACCACAATCTCCTCCTCCATGGCCTGCAGCCGACGCTCCACCTCCATACATAACTGCATCTGTTGAGAGAGTGAAGCCCTTTAGAGTATAACAAAACACTAAGAAGTGACTTTCTATGACTTTTAGACAACAGTGACTGTTGTCAATGGCTTTTAGAGTGATAAATAGCACCAAAATAACTATCTATGGCTATAGGCCTGTAAAGACATTAATCTTGAATGTTCTAATTTTTTTTCATGTGAACTAAAAGAAAAATGACACTGTGATCCTAAATTCCACTACATACATGATTGGTATTCACCTGAGGGGACCTAACATGTCTCTACATAACCTACTTTTCTCACATAATTTCTAATATATATGAGTACAAGTGTATTATCAAGGACTATCAAGAATTCATAACAATGCTTACTTCTTTGTCCAGATGAGCCATCATGGTAGGAGAGTTGTATTTCTCTGGGTTGTCCAGGAAAACTACCATTCCATCGCGTTGGTTGATGCTTGCATGGATTTCACCCTCATCAATCTGAATTCAGTTACAATGCCCGGTCAATATCATTACTGATCAAAAGTAGAATATTCCTTACCCTGATGTGTATATGCTCAACTTAACTACTAAGAAACCCAACATACATATAGGATTCATATCAAGAAAGTTCTCCAGACTGCAACACCTTAAAAAAAAGAGAAAAGAAGGGAATCACACCAATCTTACCATATTCAAAATGTATTTCTGTGCCTCCTGAGGGCTGGTGAGCTGGACGCGGTTCGCAACATCGGCAAGGGAAAGGGTAAGGAAGGTGCGAGTCAAGCGCTGAATGTTCTTCTTGTAGAGGGCACTCAGACACTGCTTCACCAATCCCATGTTCTGGTCTCTGCGCAAAGAAGCAACTTGGTGAGTTCCATGCAGCAATGGGATCTGTGTTTTTGTTTGTCTATCACAAAAAAAAAAAAAAAACAGGAGGAGAAGGAGAAGGAGAAGGAGGAGGAGGAGGAGGAGGAGGAGGAGGAGGAGGAGGAGGAGGAGGAGGAGGAGGAGGAGGAGGAGGAGGAGGAGGAGGAGGAGGAGGAGGAGGAGGAGGAGGAGGAGGAGGAGGAGGAGGAGGAGGAGGAGAAGGAGAGGTAGAGGTAGAAGAAGAAGGAGAAGGAGAAGAAGGAGAAGGAGGAGGAGGAGGAGGAGGAGGAGGAGGAGGAGGAGGAGGAGGAGGAGGAGGAGAGGAGAGGGAGAGGGAGAGGGAGAGGGAGAGGGAGGAGGAGGAGGAGGGAGAGGAGAGGAGGAGAGGAGGAGGGAAGGAGGGAGAGGAGAGGGAGAGGAGGAGGGAGAGGGAGAGGAAGGGAGAGGAAGGAGGAGGGAGAGGAGAGGAGGAGGAGAGGAGAGGAGGAGAGGAGAAGGAGAAGAGAAAGGGAGAGGGAGAGGGAGGGTAGAGGGAGAGGGAGAGGGAGAGGGAGAGGGAGAGGGAGCGGGAAAGCGGTAGGAGGGAGAGGGAGAAGAGGGAGAGGGAAAGGGAGAGGGCGAGGGGAAAGGGAGAGGGAGAGGGGAAGAGGGAGAGGGAGAGGGAAAGAGGGCGAGAGGGAGAGGGGATAAGGGAAAGGGAGCGGGAGAGGGAGAGGGAGAGGAGCAGAGGGAAAGGTGAAGAGGAAAGGGAAAGGGAAAGGGTGAGAGAGACGAGGGAGAGAGAGAGGGAGAGGGAAGAGGAGAAGAGGGAGAGGGAAGTAGGGAGAGGCGAGAGGTGAGAGGGATAGGGAGAGGGAGAGGGAACAGGGCTAGCGGGAGAGGGAGAGGAGCGGAGTGGGAGAGGGAGAGGGGAGAGGGAGAGGGAAGAGGGAGAGGGAGGACGGGAGAGGGCGAGGGAGAGGGCGAGCGGAGAGGGAAAAGGGAGAGGGTAGACGGGAGAGGGGAGGAAGGGAGAGGGAGAGGGAGAGGGAGAGGGAGAGGGAGAGGGAGAGGGAGAGGGAGAGGGAGAGGGAGAGGAAGTGTGAGTGTGAGAGGGAGTGGGAGAGGGAGAGGGAGTGGGAGAGCGAGAGGGAAAGGGAAAGGGAAAGGGAGAGGAAGAGGGAGAGGGAAAGAGGGAGAGGGAGAGGGAGAGGGAGAGGGAGAGAGGGAGAGGAGAGAGGGAGAGAGAGAGGGAGAGAGAGAGGGAGAGGGAAAGGGAGAGGGAGAGGGGGAGGGATAGAGGGAAAGAGGGAGAGGGAGAGGGAGAGGGAGAGGGAGAGGGAGAGGGAGAGGGAGAGGGAGAGGGAGAGGGAGAGGGAGGAGAGAGAGAGAGAGAGAGAGGGAGAGGGAGAGGGAGAGGGAAAGGGAAAGGGAGAGGGAGAGGGAGAGGGAGAGGGAAAGAGGGAGAGGGAGAGGGAGAGGGAGAGGGAGAGGGAGAGGGAAAGAGGGAGAGGGAAAGAGGGAGAGGGAGAGGGAGAGGGAGAGGGAGAGGGAGAGGGAGAGGGAGAGGAGAGGGAGAGGGAAAGGGAAAGGGAGGGAGAAAGAGAGAGAAAGGGAGAGGGAGAGGGAGAGGGAAAGGGAAAGGGAAAGGGAGAGGGAGAGGGAGAGGGAAAGGGAAAGGGAAAGGGAAAGGGAAAGGGAGAGGGAGAGGGAGAGGGAAAGGGAAAGGGAGAGGGAGAGGGAGAGGGAAAGGGAAAGGGAGAGGGAAAGGGAAAGGGAAAGGGAGAGGGAAGAGGGAGAGGGAAGAGGGAGAGGGAGAGGGAGAGGGAAAGGGAAAGGGAGAGGGAGAGGGAGAGGGAGAGGGAAAGGGAAAGGGAAAGGTAGAGGGAAAGGGAGAGGGAGAGGGAAAGGGAAAGGGAGAGAGGGAGGGAGAGGGAAGAGGGAGAGGGAAGAGGGAGAGGGAGAGGGAAAGGGAGAGGGAGAGGGAGAGGGAGAGGGAGAGGGAAGAGGGAGAGGGAGAGGGAGAGGGAAAGGGAAAGGGAGAGGGAATGAGAGAGAGAGGGAGAGAGAGAGGGACCAACTGGACCACTGCTTCAGAGTTCCAATCACAAAACCTGCAGCACCCAGCCATCAATGTGGGATCTCACAACCTCGCCTCACTGCCTTATGAGAGATAATAAGCACGCAAAAAAACAGAAGCATTTGAAATACCTCCAGCCTCAATCAAACTTACCTGGTGAAGGTTTCTTGATTTTTGCTAATAACGGAGCACACCTTGTCAGGGCAGTTGGTACAGAAGGCCACGCCGAGGTCCCAATACACCTGGCTGAGTGGCTTAATGAAGCGAGTCACCACCAGAGAGGCATATTTGGGGATTCGACCAATCTGACAATGAAGCAAAACAGAAGACAAATCTTGAATTGGATTGTTTAAGCTTCCGGGAGGGATCGTCTGATCTGAAGTCTTATTTAATGATACTTTTATATCTTTTTGTGGCCACATTGAGCTTTGTAGTGACATCAGAGGTAAACAATGATGTCACTAACACATATTGAATATTAAGAACAACCTCCCTAACCAGAGCTTAATATGTGAGAACAGTTTTTTTTTTTAGGAACAGCTCACTGCTTTTGCTTGATACCAAGGGAATACAAAGGAAGATGAGAAAATGAGAATCACAATGGAATTCCTCACACAATTTTTCACAATATTCATTTGTAAAATCAGAAAACTTCCTGCATTATGTATCAGAATTTGTCTGCAACTGATTAGCTTTTCAAAATGTTTTGTGAGCACTTTAAGGCATACAAAAGCCATGTCAGACTTAAGTGAGTCACACCCATTAAAATAATCTGAAGGAAAGCACACACTTAAAACAATTCCCCTGAAGCCCTCTCCAACATCAACATGGCTGCCTTACCCTTGCCAGGCCCCTATACTATCACACACATTCCTGAGGAATACACAGGACAACCAACAATCAACACATCCCAAAAATAGCAAACCGACAACAACAGCAGAATCATAATGACCTACCCTTCCTTCTAGAATGAGGGAAACAAGGATGTACTTCTTAAATGCCTCTAGCATAATGTGGGACACAGCGAGGGCGGGAGTTGTGATGCAGACTCTGAAGAAATACTGGGCTCTGTCATAGTTCTTCACTGCAGTGTAGATCATTCCTCCATAATAGTAGTATAGAAGGAAGTGCTTCACATCATAACTACCACGCTGCAAAGATAATACTTTTTTTGTTAGTCTAAAAAGGATAACAGGAGAATGGCAGACATAAAGTAGGCTTCAGTATGAACATTAGGGTGTGAATGTGTGTGTGTATGTACATCTTATATGTGTGTGTATGAACAAGTGTGTCAGCATGTGATAGATACTGGTACACAATAAGATTTTATGCATAAAAAATACCCATAACCTTCAATATGAAGAAATTCATCTAACCCATTCGCGCCGGGTGTCATGTAATCGTGACATACCCACTGTGAGTTTACTTGTTTAATTGTCTTTACACATAGATGTCTACATTTGTACTTGTACTGCCTGTCTTGCCCATTTATCCTTTTCTTTCATTTAGAAAAATATTTTACGTTATTTTATACTGCTGTTACTAATGTTTATAACATTATAGTAATTATAATGTTTATAATAAAAAATAACCATCAATATTCATAGCACTAGTAAAAAATACATTTTCCCGCAAAATGAAATCAGGTAAGGCAGAGCCATGTATGTGTAGAGACATTTCACAAAAAGTATAAAAAATGAGCACAGCATTTTCCCCAATTTTTGTTCATATTTACTTGTCGCGAATAGGTTAAAAATTCAATAAATAATAACAAAATGACAAAGAGCTTATTGTCATATATGTCATACCTGAAATATATTTAAAACCTGACACACAAATTATCAAACACTTCAGACAGAATTTTCAGTATACTATAATCCATGACTGTGCATCTATAGGTAATGTATTTCAATGGTTTAAGGCAGTACATATAGTATGACGATGTTACTGATAGCAACTAAACAACAGAAAAGCATATTCATAATTTGCCTATCACTGGTTATTGTCACCTTGTAATGTATTGTGCAAGAATTACAAAATTTATCTATCAAACATAAAGAAACAAACCAATATAAATTTTACAACTACTACCATCCTCTAATAAATACATCTCAACTTTATCAGGAAAACAGTACATCTCTAATACATACATCAGACGAAGGTCTACTTGTGTAATTTAGATTGAACCATATTGATGCATTTAGCTGAAGGAACTTATTCCAATCCTCCCATCATTAACTCACCTCCTTACTAATATCCATAATATCAACATCCATAAATTTGAGCGCTGGTTTGAAGCATTTTGAGACAAGGCACAAGTGGACCAGGTGTGCATGGATTGATGTCAGGTGCAGTGGAGACTCCTGGATCTTGCGGATTGCAGTGCTCAGGACTTCAATGCCACGCATAGCACAGTTTCCTGCCACGAGGAGGTCAGCATAGCTGCCGCACAGATCAGCCACTAAGAGTGAAAGAGTAAAGAGATCAGCATAATGATATATTACAGTGAAAAATTATAAGAATATGTAATGGTACGTATAATGTCCAATCTTATTCAAAAGAAAAACATGAGAAACAGATTCACCACAACAGAAAAAACAGAAAAACTGACCAGGATATATAGCATCAAGTGAGACCTGACAACCCTAATTCATCTGGGGTCATGAACTTGTGAATATATGACTTATTACGATGACTCACTGAGTATTAGAAGTAAATACTATGCAAGAAGAAAGTATAATGCATTATGTACTCTATCCCTTACAACCCCTACAGTTTATTAGCCCCAAACATGGTTATTCACAGAATTTGCACAAAGCCCTATTTGCCAAGATCATGGCAAGAGTGTCAAAAACTGGCAAGATTTTTTGCTGCATCTTCTCCATCATGAATGAGACTGCTTCCCTGCCTCTATCATCTTGTGAATGAAACATACTGAGTGTGAACAGTAATCCTGGTGCTGCATGGCATATTTTTTCCAGGCAAACCCTAGATCTTTTCCTCCTCCTATTAATTCATACAATTATACCACGTAATTACCTACATATATAAATGCATCTAAATACACATTTCTGTCTTACATATAAAAATAATTCTAGTCAGTGAAGGGATAACTGCAATTTTTTTTTTATTTACCGTCTACTGATATTCATTATATTTAAGATATGGCAATGAAATATATATTTTCTTGTGCAAAAAATTGAGCTCTTTAAATGCCTGCAACCAAAAATTGCCATAAAGAAACTTGAAATCTTTTTCAGCTGAGGGAGACAAGATGATGTTACTGAGAAAAGTACACTACAAAACATCTTCACTAATATTTACAAGTATAAAACAATGCCAATCTGACTTACTCATATCTGGTGCATATTTTATCTGTTCCTCGCTGCATACATTAATAAACTCGGCTACGGTAGCATGGAGAGTGTCTATGTTAGCGTCTGTGTGTGTTGTGTTCTGCAGCCTCACGCACAACACAGCCATGACCCCGAGGGAGACAGCCTGGGGTTCCAGCGTGGCCAAGACTGTGTCCAGGTGGGCCACATTCTTGGCCAGAACTTCTGTGCTCTTGCTAACATATTTCACCACCTCACCATAATTGCCTGTAATAAGAAAAATACATTTATATATTTTTATAATATATATAACCATAATCCAAGAAGTTAATTCTGAAACACATAAATTAGCTTTATAATGTACCTCAATATTCTACTCTTTACTTTTTGCTACAATAGCTTTGCAATAAACACAAACTAGCAAGAAGTAAAATATAAACAAACTTCACATAATCTGCAAATGACAAACTACTGTTTTAACCCACTGTTGACAGGATAGGCAGGAATACATACCTTGCCCACACTGCCTTTGTTTACTGATCGTCATTACAAATGGATGGCTCCACAAGTGCTTAACCCATTGCCGCCGGGGATGGCATGTACGTACATGCCATGCCCACTGTGAGTCGACTTGTTCGACTGTTTTTACACATAGATGGCTACACTTGTGCTAAGTATCCAATGAGCCAATTACGAGTACTGCCTGTCTCGCCCGTTCACCCTATTCATCGATTTACGAAAACATTTAAAGTCATCCTAATTTGCTGTTAAAAATAACACCATCTATATTTATAGCACTAGTAAGAATACGTTTTTTCCCGCCAATTCAAGGAAAAGTGAAATCAGGACTAGCAGAGCCATCTATGGACAGAGATATTTCACAAAAATATAAAATATGAGTACTGAATTTCCCCCATTTTTTGTTCATTTTCCCCGGCGGCAATGGTTTAATCTCCAAGGACATAGTTATTAGTCCTAATGGTTAGTTCCTCAGGATGGCCCTTTTGTGAGCCATCCCTCAGAGGGCTCTTGCTTAAATTTACACCAAGTAACTAAAAATGTAAGTAACCTTGCTCACTTGTTTATCCCTTCCTTGAATTTTGGAAAGATACTTTTTTATTCTTTATTGCTATTTGTATTACTGATTACATTATAAAAAACATAATGGCACCAACAATAATAACATAAATATTAATGGCATTAGATAAAATATCTTTTCCCAAAAACTCAAGGAAAGGGGAAATCACCTGTAGGTTTAATAACTGGCTCCTTGGTGGCTGAGTACAAACAAAAATGTCAGTAGAAAAGCATGAATACCCAGTACCATTAGTTAATAGTTAACATGACAGAGGTTTGAATTTTAAAATGTAAGGAAATGCTTGAGATAAAGCTGAATTCAAAAGAATATCACTATGCGTATCAATTAAACCTTTCACAACGGGTCACGCCTAAAGGCGTGAAAACAATCCGCTGGAAATGTGGCACGTGGCGTGTGGCTGTACGCCACGGCGAGCCGGTGATTCGGATTGATGTGCTGAACTCCCACGCTCAAAGTCGGCACGCTGCCATTGATCGTCAGAGTGTAGTTTTTTTGTTTGTTTTTTTAGTTTTCTTAACCCATCACCATTGGATTAAAATAAATAAGAAAGACCAAAATAAACATTATATATTGCAGTTTCTAGCCTGAAAGATACCACAGTATTCACACTAATATATTCTTTATCAAAATGTGTAAGTAGTACATAATTATAGGCTATAACAAGGATCCACTACTTGAGCACAATACAGTTTTAATGCAAAAGATTGCATGTCAATGTAACTTCTGTTTCAGGAGACTATATTTGTATAATATATGTTACTCATGTCAACCATACAAAATTTGTGTTTTCTAATTACTGAAGCATGTACAGACTGATCAAATCATCAGTTTTGGATGTTTATGCAACTCAAAATATCTGCTAAGAGAAGAGCTTTATTAAACAAGGAAGTTTCTAATCAAAGATATAAAATTGAGCTTCAATTTACAAAACACTCAATATAATCACTTAGGCTAATATCTAACATCATAAATTATATAATTCCTTAC